TTTATATTGTAAGAGAGAAGAAGCTAAGACTGAGAGTTGAATATTTTTTTTTTGTAGTGCTGATAGTATATTGTAGAGAGAGTAAGTAGAGAGAGTTGAGATTTTTTTGTAATGAATTTGTAAATAAAATGAGGTATTTATAATAAATCCAAAAATTCCATTTTCCAAAAATACTCTTGAAACTAGCCGTTATATAGCAGTTTATGGCTGTTGGGAGGGGTAATTAAGACATTTCACAACACATTTAAAAAAAAAAAAACTGCAGTTTCTGACAGTTACAACGGCTAGAACCGTTGGTTCGAACTAGCGGTTCTAACCGGACGGAGAACCGGCGGTTCCAGTCCGGTTCCGACCGGTTCTTTGGAATCGCCGGTTCTGGTTCTATATTTGCTGGAACTGGAACCAAACCGAATTTTTTTTGTTCCGGTTTCGGTTCGTCCCGGTTTCGGTTCTCACCGGTTCCGGTTACGGTTCCGTGCCAATTCGAACCGACGGTTCCAGTTCCTGAAACCGTAATATGGCCAAGTCTAGGTGGCAGAATACGAAGAGTTGTTGAAAGAAGAATCACAGAGGAAGAGAAGCTCAATAAGAATTTATTATCAGGAGCTTCATCAGGAAATGACTATGGCTGACTTAATGAACTCAGGTTTTTATGTGTGTCTGAACTTAGGAGCCCTAGTAAAGACAACATCTCAGAAGAAGACTCCGATTCGAAGACTCAATTTAACTTTAATGTGTCTAAGACTGAGAAGATCTTTGATTTCTTGCTGAAGGAAAAGTTTGTATCTCTCCCACCTGGTCATAAGCTGCCGACGAAAGAAGAGACGAAGGGAAAGTAATACTATAAGTAACATGATTCCTGGAACCATAATACTAATAGCTATTGGATTTTTAGGAATTCTATACAGGATCGCATTAACAGAGGAGTGTTGAGGTTCCCTGACAAAGAGTAAATATTGATTGATGAGGATCCTGTCCCAAGTGTCGCATCTATCAACGCTGTTGAAGTATATCTGAGGAGTATAATTGATCAATTGAAGAAGCTATAGGTTCATTCGAAGTCCTTGAAGACACCTAAAGAGTCGCAACAATATTGGCAGCAGAAATTTTCAGAGGGAGCCGGACCCACAAAACAACTAGAGTGTTTAATTCGTGAAGATTTAGAGGATCCTAACACATCTTCCAATAGCTCATTAGTTGTAAAGACCTCTAGAGTTGGTTTAATGCCGTCATTAGCCATCGCGCCTTATAAAGCCCGAGGTGGGAGACTAATATCTCAGAGCTCCATGACTATTAAATCATATACTAATAAGGAGATGGAAATATCTGCAACTACTATCTCCATAATTTATTTACAGTAACTATTTGACAGGTTAGCTACAGAGGAGTACCTAGTGGTTGATGGTGCTGAAGTGATCTTCAGAAAAAAATTAACATTTCTTAGGCTGGGCAATGTTCTTATTGAAGTCCAAGATCTTTTAGAGGAAGTCAACCTCGGTACCCCTGGGACTTCAAGAATTTCATATATTAGCAGCCTATTGAAACCTGAGCTGAAACAGAAGATCATACATTTTTATGGTCATAACGACCTAGAGGAAATGCTTACTAGCTATCAAGTAGTACAAGAGATTCGCACAAAAGAAATGCCAGTAGTTATTACCTCAAGGAGTACTATCACACCAGGTGGGAAATGAGGGATCATCAGTAATTGCAATGGGGCTGATCCCACGGTCCCACTAAGAAAGGTCACATGTAGCAAACAACGCAATAGTTATAAGCAAATGACATAGCTGATCTCACGATAATCATGAATAAAGTAAATAGGCCTACTTGCTGTTTCTTTCATAAATGCTGGTTCATGGCTTTAAATATATTCATACAAATTAAAAAAAAAAGGTCAGTCAAGATTCAGATATTTGACCTGGTGCTAGGTCCACTGGTGCTATGAAATAATAGAGGAGCGTGTCTCATAGCTTTTTGTCCAAGCTTGTACCAGGGAAGAAGAATGTAGATCACTCAGGAAAATGAGTAAATCTCAAGTAAGGATCCTCAATCTCAATAATAACAACGAATAAAATTAGAAGAGGAGCCATCTGTAGGTGCAACAAAGGGCAGGTGCAATAGAGAGCATACCTATAGAGAAGAGACAACTGGAACATCTAAATCTTAAACTGTAAGAAGAGGAGACTATCGAGAAGAAGACATATGAGTCAGGGGAGTTGCCTCAATTTGGAAAATATATCTAGAAACAGCTAATAGAAAGGATGATGAACCAGTCACGAATGTCCCTGGAGAGAACTTGACCAAAAAAAAAAAAAAATGGTGCTAAGATTAGCAGAGGAACTTACTTGAGGAGCTGGTGCATTAGCAAGGGCAACGCTCAAGGAGTTTGCAAATGAAGTAGTGGAACCTATTAGTAAAAAATAAAGGTACATAATTCGCAACACAATTTATATTTATTCAGAGGAACTAGTTTTTCCCTAGTCATAGTAGAAATATACTTTCACTGGTGCCACAATCTGGAAAAATGGTTGCCAGTGGAATTGGTATAAAAAATTTGGTGCCTCTGAAATAGTTTTTTTTATTGGTTCCATGCCTATGATTCTTCAAAAAATTCATTAGAGGTAAAACACAGGAACCAAACCATTAATTTCCATTGCACAAATTCATTGCCATCTTAAAAAGTTTCACTTTTTTTATGTTATATAAAAAGTTTTTCACTTTTTTATGTATATATATATATATTAATTACTATTTATATATATATATATATTTATATAATATATATAAGAAAACAAACGCAAAGGAGAGGAAAGGAAAAATGCACCTGTAGTTGGTTGATGCTTTTATATTTATATTATTGAAAAAAAAAAAGAGAGAGAACGATTCGAAAATAATTTTGTAGCAGCCAAACAAAAGCAAACCGAAAATTGCTTTGAAAACAATATATGGCCATGATTTTCATCAATTCCAAGGCCAAAGCTTTAATATATTTGGCTATCTAAGAAATTTAGAAAATGGCCATGAAAATAGTTTTCAAGATCGACAAGATGATGGAGTAGCATATCCACAACAGCAACATAGGAAAGAAAGAAAAGAAAGAAGATGGTAGTCGTGCAAACGAAAAAGAATAAAAAAAGTGAATCCAGCCTTAGAGTTTCTTTGCTTATTTGTTATTTGAATTTTTAATTTCTAAAATGGATTTGGATTTACAAAATCGGCTAACATATTAAGCATGGCCTATCAGTCCAACTTAATATGGGGGCAATTGATGAACCCATTTTGTGATTTTTTTAAATTTGGGCTTTATATTTTGGGTTTGGGCTTGGATATTTAGTTAATTGAGACCCAATTAATATTGTTTTGGATTATTAATTGATTAATTAATTTCCATTAATTACTTAATTAATTAAAAGAAAGAGATAAAGAAGACATGATCTGCAGTTGTACAAGCACTCCTCAAGCGATTGTTGACACGTATAGAAAGTGGGGGACCAAGGGAGCCAATGATGAAAACGTGTGTCAGTGGATTCTTTTGCTTAATGCCTGTAAAGCTTACAAATGGAGCAAGGGAATCCAACAAAAAGGGAACAAAAAATTCTCCGACGAATTCAACAATCAAATCAAACTCTCCAATGAGTCAATCAATTTAATTTCAAAGCATTGTTTTTATTTTTTTCTAAGAGTAATTCATTTACATTTTCTATAATTATAAGCTTGTATTTCAATACAAGCAATTAAAATTCTATTTACTTTTCAAGCGATCAAATTCTATTTTACAATTTTCTCTGCCAATTTTATTTTAATTGCACAACTGATGAAGCGGATACTGTGGAACCAAACCTACAGCCTAGAAGTCAGATTGAGCGCACTTTATTTTTCAGTTGGAGTATTTCACAAACCTGGCACACCCGCAATTAATTCACAAATCAAGCTGTCAACCAATAGATTCGTTGCTCTTTTCCAAAAAAGAACCAACAAATATATAAAGGATAAAAATGTAAATTTACAACAATGTTATTTTCCTTCCTCCCATATATTTTCCTCCTTTTTCCAAACATAGGGTGAAAAATAAGGAAAGAAAATAAATAGTGCAACCAATCATTATTTTCCTCCCTATTTTCTTTCCTCCCTTTCCCAAACACAGTGAAAGAAGTGAGGCCCACAATTTCAATAGGAAAGAGGAGAAATTCTGAGAATTAGATTGACAAAAACAACAAATGGTAGTTGTCTTACTCTAGATATAATTATTTTTCCAAACCATAGCCCGTTGAATTTCAGACACTATAGGCAGGTAAACCCACATAGATAAAATCCAAAAAATAACCATTGGAGGTTAACATCCAGATATTTCATTAATCAATTTTGAAACTAATTAACTTCACCTCACAAGTGTTATGCTCATTCGAACTGGCTTTTTGACTTTCTGGTATTATCATCAAAAGTTGTGCTCTGCCATTCTTAATTCTCCACTCGTACAATTCAGTTCCAGCTCATTCACATTTATGTTTATTTGACAGTTATAAACTTAGAGTTGACTTTCTATGACCACCAAAATTCAATTTTCAAATTATATTAAACATAAATTCAATTTATAGAATGAGGAGATATAATATCCCTTCCAACCATAGAGCATAAAGTAGCTAATAGCATTTTTAGATTTTATAACTTTAATTGTGATAGCATTTTAGATTTTAGTTGTTATATAGCGTAGGTTTATCTATATCTACATATATAGGGGTTGTTATTATTATTATTAGGGATAAAATTATTTAATTATATTTTCAAAAGTACCTTTAATAAAAATCTACTTAAGATTAACAAAAATTAAATCAAATTTAATGGTTTTTGCATACTTGTAAATTGGGAATCTTTTTATCTTGTAGCTTTGGATAGGAGGAAAAAAGGGAAGTCCACCATATTACACAGTGGACCCAAAAGAAGTCTATAAAAGACCTACTTGCTTATGTGTTGTTGTCCATATGAAAGATAGAGAATAGAAGTTATAAGAAAGATAGAGATTAGAGAAGAGAAGTTGTTTAGGGGAAAAAGAGATGGGGAGATCAAAAATAATACTTAAGAAAATCGAAAATCCAACTTACAGGCACATTACTTTTGCCAAAAGAAAAAGTGGGATTATCAAGAAAGCTTACGAACTTTCTACTTTATGTGATATTGAGATTGCTCTTATCGTCTTTTCTCCTGCTGGAAAACTCTTTCTTTATGAAGGAAAGAAAAGGTAAATGATATGAAGAATTATTTTTATTCAAATTCTCACTTGATTCCTGATTTTCGTTTTGTTATAGCACATTACTTCATTTTACTAAAAAGAAATTGATAGGGTTGAATTATCAATTTCTTTAGAGTTATAAGGTATAGACTTGATAATATTTGGTTTGTATGTGCTTAATTTGATTCACTTATAGCTAATCAGTGTGAATTTTGAATTTTAATTATAGGCTGGAGGAAATCATTCAACATTATTTTGATCTTCCAGATAACCGCCGTCAACGGTATTAAAATTATAATTCAATTAATTTGTATTTGATATAATTGTCCTGAAGGAGCAAAACACTCAATTACATATATGGTACAAATGGTTAGGTACAAATGGTTATGGAGAACTTTTAGTTTGTAGAAACTCTGTTTTTAAACCCTCATTCTGTTTAAAATGATAATGTAGATGAAAAATAGAAATCAATTTCCTGCAAATGTATGTTAATATGTCGAGATCAAGGCTAATATATGGAAATTAGTCTCTTATAAACATATGTTAGTATATGAAGAGTAAGTCTAACATCATTTTTGAGAAATGAAAAAATCATTTAGAAGTAGATTTTTGCTTTCTTTTAAAAAAGGAATATAAGGAGGAGAGATCAATTTTGGTATTGATAGTCTTTTCATTAGTGAGTTTAGAATTTGTTGCTATTATCCAGGAGGAGGAGAAATAACGTAGAGAAAAATAAAAAGAGAGATGAAATAAAAAGAGAGATGAAAAAGTGATCAACTATATATGCATTTTGTTTGATTTGATTTGAAATCGAACCGTTAGATTGCACATTTTAAATTGGAAGTTAATTATAATAAATAACAAAATTACAAAACTGCATCTTACTTTCTTATTATTAAAAAGTTAACTATAAAGAATAACGAATTTATAACTACCGAATTTACTATTAATTGGTATCTTTAAAAGTTATTACAATAATATAGTTTTTGTTTGGTTAAAGGGTAGTTTTAAAATAAGTAGCATACTTATTATTTCCATTTTATTTTATGAAATATAATATTTACTCGGTTCTGTAATTTAATTAGCAAATATTAATTCAATATTGATTTCATTAATTCATTCCATAAGTATTGCTGACGACTTTATCTTCTTGTATCTCCCCAAACTACATGTCGCAAATGAAGGCTGCATAATGAAGAGGTAATTTAGTAATTACCCACAAATTCAATTATTTATTTGCTAATAGTTTAATTTTCCAAATTCAATTTCCAAAGTTTCACTAATTTTATATATAAAATTATTTTGCAGTTGATTAAGCGGATTGCTCATCAAATGAGTCTTGAGACAAGTATCTTCCATCACTTGGTCATGGCTGGGTTTGTTCTCTTCTTACAAACTCTTTTTTAATTTTCACATATATATGTTTATTAATTAATTAACTATTTGCTTTCTTTTGACATAATTAATAGTCGCTGCCATGTAACATCTGGATCTCAAATGCAGGTACTTTATACACACATACATATATATATATGATTAATTAAATTGTCTCTAAATTTCTTTTATATATCTATATATATAATAGAGAAAATTCATCAATAATTGAATTACAGGTGATCCAAAATGAAATTCAAATATTCACTTCTGAATTGGAAGATGTTGAGAAACAAATAAGGTATGAAAAATCAATTAACTGGATTAATTAAAATAGCCAAACATGGAATTAAAGGAAGGAGATTAATCCATTTTGAGGGAATAAATCAATTAATTAAAAATTTTCTATTAATTAATTTTTCAGCCAATTTTTAAAGAGCCCAAGTAGCATCGAAACAGTGACTGAGGCTGAACGCCAGGAAAACACATTGATTGAGACATTGAAACATGTCCAAATCCGAAAGGTAACAGATCTTCAGCTTTCTTGCATCCATTCTTTTTCTTCCCCAATTTTGTTATTTTTCCTCTCTCTCTCTCTCTCTCTCTCTATATTCTTCTCTCTATATAATATTATTATATTAAATATACCTACGTATCATTATCTATAGCTGCTTCTGTAATTCCCTTCAGCAGCAACTTTGAAGAATTTTGAAAACTTTCATCCAGTTCAGATAGCAGGTAATTAGTAGAAGAAGCTTTTTTTTTTATTTTTTCTTTATCAGCACCAACGAATTTTTTATCATAGAATTACAACAATACACCCAGCACCAAAAGTATTAAAGTTATTTTATCATGGAATCTACTCAACAAGGCAAATAGGACTCTCCTTACTACAACCTACTCAAAAATCTCAACCACCTAGAATAAACTGCAAAAATGCTTCAAACACACACTAACATCCATAGCAAACAATAAAAGCCTAAAATAATTAGCAATTTTACATTTTAACAGGAACTGACAAAAACAATTAATTTAGTGAGATTTTATTGTATAGGACATAATTGGACTTTACACTTTATTTGATTTTTTGTTGCGACCCGCCCCCCACATATCGCAACCTTTCTAATTTCCACATGAATACTGAATTCTGATGGCTTCATTTCATGGGAAGTTCAAAGCTATATCCAGTTGATAGGTCCTCTAACAGTTTTTGATTTGATATTTTCCGGCGGTACAGTCTGAATTCCCATTCTTTCAGGTACATTTCTGTAGCTTTATCTATCTTGTCTATATAATTTCAAAAAATCATGAAATCAGGCTCAGAGAACTATCTTGAGAATTCTTTTTTTTTTTTTTTTTATCAGCAACAACGAATTTTTTATTAGAATTAAAAATACCAGAAAAAGTTTAGTATTTTCAGGAATCTACTCCAAGCCAATAGGCTTCCTTAATACACCTATAACTAACCTGTAACCTGAAAATGTTAAACAAAAATCTAGCAAAAACAATAATAAGCTAACAATAATTAGAATTTACATTTTAACAGATGACAAAACAATTAATTAGGAGATTATTGTTAGACATAATGATTAATTTATTTTGATTTTTGTGGCGTATAGCAACCTTTCTATCCAATGAATATGAATTCTGATGGCTTCATCATGGGAAGTTCAAGCTATAATCCAGTTGATAGGCCTCTACAGTTTGATTTTGATATTCCGGGGTACAGTGAATTCCCATTCTTCAGGTACATTTCTAGCTTATTATTTGTTATATATAAAAAATCATAAAAGATAGAGACTATCTTGGATTCGACTTGTGGTATTTGATCTTCTCTGTAACCCGAGACACATCCAGTTAGAGCTTTCTTGCGAAAATTAATAACCTAATCGATATGGATAATTAGAATTAGTTAATCCCTAACATTTCTTGCTATGAATACAGCAATCAAGAGCCAAATTTTCCTGAACTACAGCCTCCACCAACATTTCTTGATGGACATGGATTCCCTGTCCAGAACAATGACAACAATTTTAATGCCTGTGTTCCTTATTCTCATCAAATGGGGCAATTTCCTAACATGAACTTGCCTTCAACTTCAACAATCAATACCAATGAACAGGTACCATTTTTCTAAAGAAAAAATTACATTATTCTAATTACATTCACTTCTTAATTAATAAAAACTATATTAGTAATTAATGGATTCTGATTTTTTGTTGTTGATCAGGGAAGTGCTTCAAATGCACCGGTGCAGGGCCAAGAAGGCGATCCGGCGAAGGGTTTTTACAACCCTAGCTATGGGAATTACCATTTTCGATTTTGATTCCAATTGAAGGATGAAAAGGAAAAGAGAATCAAAATCAAAATCAAAATCCAAAATAAAGATTCAAATTAAAGATGAATCATTGTGTTTGGTTGTTAACCATCTTTCTTTAATTTTCTAAAGTTTACTCAATTCAAACATCATGAGGGTTTGTTTAATGAACACCTTTTAATATGGCTTTTGATGATTTGGCTGGGATTTGAAAGCTTTATCAGTTTTGAGTTTAGACTTAATAATAAGATTGTTATGCCTAATTTTTATTAGACAAGACTCATTACAAAGCCCTTATAAAGTTAATTATTTTTTTATTTCAATTTTGAATTCAAGGTATATTAAATTATTATCTTATTTTATCTCTTTTAGAGGTAGAAAAACTCTTGGTTATAGTTATAACTGGAATACTTATTATTAGGGGTGAGCAACGGACGGGTTGGGTTAAATAAGATATTTAACCGATTCACCTAAATCGAATAAGGATATACATCCCTCAAATTGTTTGACTTAAATCGACACGAAAAATCCATTATAACCCTATATTTTCGATCTGGTTGGTTCGGATCGAATTTCGTGCAATCCTACTTATCACATGGGTATTTGGAATGCCAATTAAAAATATATTTTGGTGCAATTGGTATTTCATTGAGAAGGGTTAGGAATGAGATCTCTTAATCCTGTTAAGATTCTATGCAAAATATAATATTTAGTACATAACAATATAATTAGGTCTTAGATATAACTTACAATTAGGTCCTGATAAATATTTATATTCTTTCAATTCCATACAAAAATTTGACTTACTCAACAAAGGTAAAATATGACTTTAAGAGACATAAGCAATATCATAAGTTTTACTTTTAATAACATATATCACTTTAACCTCATATTAGTGGCTTAATTAACTTTTTAATCAGTTAATCTCAAAAAAGAGCAAATAAAATAATGGAGAGAAAATAAAATAATGGAGGAATCATTTTCTTCTTTAATTTGTAGATGTTTTAATATTATAAGGAAAGAAAATAGTACATATTTCTTCTTTGATATTTTCCGCACATTTTTCCTCATATATTTTCTTTACTCCAAAAAGAATCTTCCTTTTCAAACAAAGCCTAAGCCAGTGAATATTTTTTATCATATGCTGGACTTGAGTTATTATTTTTTTCCATTCATGGGCAAGAATAACTAAATGGAGGTTTCTTCACGTGATTTCAATTAACCATACAAATTAATTAAACTAGCTAGTTAATTTAGCAACCACCAACATTAATTTAATTACAACAATGAAATAATATTATTCTCTATATGAAAACTGCAGAATAAATATGAATGATGGGTACATCATCAAAGCATACCATTTCAAGGCATTGTTTGGCTCTACTAGAAATTCATCTACAACGCTTCTGCAACTAATTTCCACTGTCTCATATATTTTTCCAGTCCCAAAATCGAAGCACCCAACAAACAGTCTCTGCTTTATGATTAATAATATATATATATATATATATATATATCAAAATCAGAGCTCTTTCTTTATATATAAAAAGGAGCTGTCTGTGATTGATGCTTGCCCACTATATATACGAATCTATGCATAACTTATAATATGCATATCTACTATATAGAGTTCCAAACAAAAACCTCTATAAGAAACTTAGTAATCACAACAGAAATAGGTTCCGCCCAAGTGTGTGTGTATATATATAATTATATATTTCAAGAAACCCTGGCTGTACCAGAAGAATATGTACCGCGTTCACTAAAATCCATGCACAAAAAGCCTAAATATATCGAAAATAAATACCCTTTGAAACATATATCAAGAAGAGAATTGATTAATATATATATGTAAATATGAAACAGTATCTGTTTCGAGACTTATACTTTATGAACGTCTTTTCTACAAACTTTAGAGAAAGCTGAAGCAATATAAAGAACAAGAAAAGAAAAAGAAAGAAGATAGACACATACAGGGAGAGAGAAGTAAAGGATTCGAATGGGATAAACAAACATATAATGGACAATTATATAGTAAAGGATTCCAATGGGACAAACAAACATATAATGGACAATTATATCATGCGCAGTACAGATTATGTGAACTTATTACACAAACACAGACTCCCTTATGCTGTTTCAAAAGATACTTTTAAAAGCTAAAAAAATTCAAGAAAAAGGAAGAGACATAATTTAGAGAGTTGTTGCTGTCCGTCACTGGTTCGTCCATCTTCCCAAGGAGATAGATTAAATCCCTCGTTTCTTTTTTTTTTTTTTTCTTTTTTGCCGCCATGCATTCAACGGCGTCATTCTTGATAGGTAATCTTGGGCTTCTCAACCCCAAAAGCTAACTCAAGAGGTGAGGCTTTCCTTCACACTTATAACTTGATTACCAGCCCCTTCCACAACCGATGTGGGAAAACCCAACAATCTTGTTAGGGCACCGGCAATAAAATTACGAGAATAATTACCACAACGGAAAAATAAAAATAGGACACACAAAAATTTACGTGGTTCACCCTTAATTTAGGGCTGAGTCAACGTGACAAAACTCCGAATAAATTTCAATAGTAGGCTTACAAAGAGAGTAATACAAAAATAGCGGCAGTCAAAAGTGTTTCCCAAAAACACCTCAATAATCTTCACTATTTTTCTAAACCCTAGTTTTAAGAACCCTTTCTTAAAACTAACTCTATAACTATGCGATTTTAATCGCTTGTTGGTGTGTAAAACTGAAGCAAATCCTCTCCTATTTATAGGAGAGGAAGACGAAAGAGCCGTGTATAACTTATTCACGGCTCTCCACTTTGTCAAAGTTGCATGCCAAATTTCACCTTTTTTTTTTCATCACATGTGTGGGTCCCACTTGAGTGGGCACCGCCACAATAATTCCTAGTGTCCAATGTGGTAGAGATGGGCTAAAATGCTTTGAAACAACTCTTGAGTCCAATAGTTCCATTATTGGCGTGAAACTAACACATCTTGGCACCTTATACTGGTTAATAGACGCACCTCTTGATATTGCATAATCCATAAGATCTCAAAAGTGCCATTTTTCTCTGCTCTTTATTAGATAAGATAACAACGTAGTTGTTACAAAGACTTATTCAAATGCTATTCTGTTATATTTAGATATATACAAGTTCCTTGAAACAAGGATTAGAAGAGTCTGTAATCATGTATTTAAATTTGTATTTAATTACACTTGTTATGTAATAATTATACTTCCTCTAATTCGTTTTATGCCTATCAAAGCCCTTTTCTCAAACATCATTTTTTCGTAATCCTACTGTGATCTTCTATTCCCTTTTCAATGACAAATCCTCTGAAAAACCATTTCCACCATCCTACCTTCTTCAAATCAACCCTAAAATCCCCTCTGCAACTCAAATTATTTCCATTAATGCCTCGCTTCAAGCCCCTAAACTGACTGCCACAAAACTTACCAATCGTGGCATATCTCAGTGTACTCTCTATTGGTTGAGAACCCTATTGCTAGTAATCTGACAACCAGTTCCTATCTGTTTCGTCAAGATCAGCTCCTTCGAAGCGCTATGATTGCTTCTCTTTCTCCCGATGTAGTCTCTTATGTTGTTGGTGAGAAAACTTCTCACGATGTTTGGGTTACTCTGGAGAAAACCTATGCTAAGCCATCTCAAGCTCGCATTATGAGCTTGCGAGAGTCTCTATTTACAGCTAAGAAAGGGATCTCATCAGTTATTGAGTTTCTTTAGAAAATTAAATCGATCACCACTACACTTGCTGCTGCTGGTGTTGTTATTCCGATGAATGAAACTGTTCTCCATGTTCTTCATGGTCTACTTGCTGAATATAAGGAGGTTTCGACTGCCATTCGAGCACGTGACTCTGAGATTTCTTTTGACGATCTTCATGATAAATTGACTGACTTTGAGAGTCAATTGAATCGTGAGTCGTCGAATTTGGTTGTTACTCCCACAACGGTGAACTATACTGCGAAAAACAAAGCTGGATCGTCAACTGCTGCTCCTCAATCTTCCGCTTTTGTTAATTCTGGAAATTTTTCAGGTACTCCTACTTCCTCGACCTACAAAAATAGGTTTAAATGTCAATTTTGTGACAAGCCTGGGCATGTCACTAAACAATGTTTTAAACTCAAGAAATTGCTCCCATGGCTATTTAATGAAAACTCCACTGCTGCTGGTTCAAAGACTCAAGCTCAAGTTAATTGTGTTACTAGAAATCGGCAGACAAATGATCCTCGTTGGGTTGTCGATTCAGGTGCAAATCAGCATGTGGTAGAAGACTTAAAGAATCTGACTATTCATTCAGATTATGAAGGTAGTGATAATGTTTTCCTTGGTGATGGTAAATCCTATCCAATTTCTCATACAGGGACTGTTACCTTAAATTCTGCCACCAAGCCTTTGAGTTTAAAGAATGTTTTATGTGTTCCTGCTCTTGATAAGAATCTTATTTCTGTTTATAAATTGTGCACTGATAATAGTGTTGAGGTGACATTTAATCCCTTTCTGTTTACTGTGAAGGATTTGAGCACGGGGGCGCTGCAAAAGCGGAGGAAGCCCACTTAATTGCAAAATTTATGAATGCCGCCAATTCTGTCAAGAGGTTCCTTAATTGAACATTAATCATTATTGTTGCTTCTTCACAGCCCTTTATGCATCGTCGGTTAGGCACCTTCAAACACCTATCTTGGCGCTTATTTTTGCAGTCATTGATTTCATTCAGTTTTCAACAATAATTCTTTGTATGTCCATGTAAGTGCAAACAAAATGCACAAGTTTCCATTTTTGAGTCCACTATGACAACCGCTCCAAATTGGAAGTTAAATTTAGTAGTGACGTTTGGGACCTCACCGGTCACTTCTTATTGATAGATTTTCGGTATTAATATCATTTTGTCGATCATTTACCAAATTGTTGTGGTGTTTCCTTGAAAAGAAAATCTGACGTGTCTTCAATTTTTTCGGTATTTCAGAATCTTGTTGAAAACTACTTCAATAGGAAAATTAAATCAATCTATTCGGATAATGGGGGGGAATTTATACACCTGAAAGCTTACTTGCAAGAAAAAGGGATTTCTCATTTTCTTACTCTACCCTACACACCAGAACATAACGCCACAGCTGAGCGTTGACATCAACACATTGTCGAAACTGGGCTCACATTACTTCATCAAGCCGATCTACCCCTATCTTTTTGGACATATGCTTTTCAGACAGCCGTATATTTAATCAATAGAATGCCAACCTCTATTTTGGACAATAAATCACCTTTCTACTGTCTTCATGGCAAAGAACCCAATTATGCTAAATTAAAGGTTT